TCACAGTATTATTCTGTATATGCAACATCAGTCAAAATCCAATTATATTTTAGTACAGAAAATGAATAATATGTTTACCTGGTCTGCCTGCTATGTTGAATCATTATATATATTTTGTGGTATATCTGAAATAAGATATACAGTAGTATGTCAAACATAAATGAGAACGAGCAGAGAGCCAAAGGGAAACGTGGTTCTGGTCCTGCAACCGCATTTGTAGTTTTGGTTTATGCATAAGTAGCATCCTGTTAGTTCAGTATGCATGCCAGAGAGTAGCAAGGCACAGAGGAACACAAACACACTCTCACCTCCAAATGTGTTCACACATGCACAAACAGTCAGATGTGCAGATGTTGCATATAGATACACAAACACATATGTGTTGAGGTGCAGACACGTAGCGAGAAGAGAGGGAGACTGTTAATTAACTAGAGCTCGTTAATTCTCTTTGAACCGACAGCACGAAGGTTTACACACTAATTACCTTGATGAAGGAGCCAACCTGTGCACACACACAAACACGTTGTCGCACTCCAATCACACACAAGCACATATATTCAGAGGCTGCCATAACATGTCTTGCAGGCTTGGAAAGTCTCACACTTATACGCAGACATTAAATATAAACACAAAGGTATGAAGTCTCATGCATAAGCATGTGCACACATACACACACTTGCACTGCAATACACTCTTGCCCTAAAATGAAATGTTATATTAGGAACATTTTTACAGCTTTTTCTGAGCTGCAAGACTCAGATGGTTAAGTTTTTTTCTAGGTTCACACCCATCATGCCTCTGTTTGATTTACACGGATCTGTCAAAGATAGCTTCACATTAAGTGCCATACTGTATCACGATACTAACATGCCCATACAATATAGTTGCCTTACATGCTTACACATTAACAAACACACCATGCACCCACTCAAACACTGCGCTGAAGCTCCCATGTCAGTTTTGAACTGTAATGGCCCATGTCAAATTAAGGGGAAGGTTTTTTATGTACTGCATCAAACTCAATTAATATTCCATCCGGCACGATTTCATGGGCCACACTGGACTTTAGTCAATTCATCTGTATTTTTGTGTTTGCAAGTATGTGTGAGTGTGTGTGTTGCCATGTGCAAATGTGGGTCAAGCTCCATTAGATATCTGGAATGTTTAGCTGTCAGTCTTTACTGCAGTTGCTCAGCCAAAAACCAGAAAACATACAGTTCATGTATACGCATGCCCAAAAACATGCTTTGTGAGTCAGGCTGGAAAACATCAAGGGCTACAGCCAATTTTTTTGGTCTTTTTAGAGAAAGGTAGAAGCTGATAAAGCTGAAAGGAAATGAAAAGAGATACATTTAAGATTTGTGGGGAAGAAAGCTTTAAAAAATGAAAAATAATATTCAAATCATTTGGAAATAGCAAAAGTATAAAGTTAAATTGTGAAGAAGCAAGATGGACAAGAGCAGACTGTGTAGAGTCAAATTTAATGACTAAACAGTGCCAAAAATATGGGATTTTTGCAAAAGAGTAGAAGAGAGGTTTGTCAATGAGTGCAAGATTTTGAGATAGAGAAGACATGGGAAAGATGGAAAAAAAAGGGGTTAGGGAGTGTGGAGGAGTTATGGGTCAATAAATCCCACTATGGGAAGGAGGAGAGGAACTCATAACGAGGTCAAGGGCACGTCATCGATCGCCACATTGTAAAGCTGACTGGCAAACAGTGGAGAGGGAGCAAATGAAAGGAACAGAGAAAAGAGGGAGAGTTACCGCTGTAAAAAGCATAGCGACTGCAGGTTCAGCTGAAGGAAGGAAGGACAGAGGAGAGATGCCGAAAATAAAATTATCAGGATGAAGGAATGAAAGAGGGCAGCTCTGGCCTGAAAGAGTTAGAGGAAAATTGAATTAGATGGAATCATGGTCGAACAGATGAATTCTGTAATATAACACACACAGGGAGCAACTGGCACCAAGCCTCCACAAGTAGTAACTCACTCACTGGCTGTCAATCAAGCCCCGCCCTGTGGCGCAGGCTGGATTTCCAAATTCATAAAGTAATCCTAGCTCATGTATTACCATTACATTTGAGACACAGGCTTAAGCATCCCAACTGATGGAAACAGATTACTGTATAGATTGCTATTAAATATTGTAGGGACACCCATGGTGTGCAGAAGATGAAGCCCTCTGACTTTGGTGATCTCCAGACAGAAGGGCACCAGGTCAGCTGGGGCTCAAACCTAGAACCTTTATGCTGTGAGGTGACAGCGTCACCATGCCGCCCTTCTCCTCATGATGAAATTTAACAGCTCTGGTCATCCTCTGAAATTTCACCTGACACCATCACCAGCGTTTCAATATTTTGGCTCATGCAAAATAACGATCTCCCCAACAGCCACAGCTATGCTTTGCACTTAGTGCCTATAGAACACGTTAGCATGCTAACATGCTAAACTAAGCTGGTGAACATGGTAAACATCGCCGTGCTGATTAACATCATCATATTAACATTATGTGATCACGTTAACCTGCGGAAATTTGCACCACTATGATGAAATATAGGCTTACAGAGTTGATAGTCTTGTTTACCAACATTAACCACTGGTCTGAAGATGCTTCCGATATCCTCAGCGACTCTTCAAATAAAAAAAAGTTTAATCTTTTGCACAACAGACAAAACTTGTTTCTCAGGTAATGACTGTATTTTATTATTCAAATAGCTGGTGAAATAAAATCAAAATATTTATGTTATTTTGTATTAATACATGAACTATTGGAAAGTAAGGTCAACATACAGTATAGGTCTACCAATATGACTGGTAATACATTTTTAAAATTCAGTTCATATTTTAGAAACTGAACAAGCAGAAATGTAACTTCTGGCTACAACCTTTGTTTGGATTAGGACAAAGTGGGGTAATTAGGTTAAAAATCTTTTCTGTTGTGCAGAAGATCTTCTTGTTTTCAAAGATTGCTAGGTATTTATATACAGAGCTCTGTGACTTGATAGTAATGTCAATAAATGAAATGCACAAACCACAGTTATCAACAATCCCAATGCCTCAGTGAACTCTTTATTATATTGGTTCTCTGAACAGAAGACAGTGCTGTCTGTAAGTAATTATCAATTTCACATCATTTTTATAAAAAAAAAAAAGTATTCTGATCATGGAAAAAATATTCTGCCTTGAGGATGAGTTACAATTATTTTATGATTATAATAGTTTTGACAGCTTTCTTTGTGACGTCAACATAACTAATCTCAAAAACCAAACTTATTATTGTGAGATCAAACAATTAACTTTTCTTTTCATGGCAACAAACAAAACAATCCTAACCCTGCCCTGTGTGGCTGTCTGTACTTGTACAATACTGTATGCTTTCACTCACTTTTCTCTCACTGTGCCATTACCCCAAGTGGAAAGGAGGTTGAACCATTGCATCTAAGCTGATGCTCTAAAAATACATCACTCTCTCTGTGGAGACTTAAGATGAAGCCACTGAGACTCCAAGAAAGGTGCATTTCTATTAGACTCTAATATCTTTTCTTCTTCCGTAGTCTCTCATCCCTTTTTCAAGTAAACATTGTTAAGAAAACAGCAGAAGAAACAAGTGCTCTGTTAATTTTCCCTTTCTGCTTAATTAATTTCACTCCTCTTGTCATGCATGTTCATTAGGTGAAATGTTCAAATCCTTCTTTTTCTTTGGGTGTTTAGAAGAAAAAGAAGAATTGATTCGGTTTTGGCTTTAATACCGACCGTCCATCAATTTCCCTCCAGATTATCCTTAGGCGGCGTTCCGAGCTGAAGTTTTTCCACCCTAATCTTCATCCTTCCCTCTGTTCCCTCACTTCCTCTATATGCTGCGTGTTACAAAGCTGATCTAAATTGAAAGGGTTGTAATTTTGCGAGCACATAAATGAGTATGAGAGGAGATAGGAGGGGTGTTGTATAGAAATGGGCTTCCTGGTGGAGTGATCCCTCCAGGCTAGACGAAGTCATTTAACTCTCTCATATTCTCTCAACAAGGAGTTATTACAGAGTTCTTTGTCTCCAAAGTGAAAGCTGGTCCACTAACTACTTTAGACAGGGGGTGATTTGTGTGCTGAAATTGCTGATATACATTTGAGGGAATGAGTGATGTGATTTGTTACTGATTCACCCCCACTTCCACTTGATGATGGTTGGTTTGTATCCACGGCTGTAGCCTACTGTACTTCTGAACACCTTTTGGTTGCATTTCAAGATCACTCAAATAGAAATCATATATTTTTTTATTTTTTCAGATTCCAGTTTACTTCCACTTTGTGGTTGGAAGTACAAACCCAAAGTCAGAACAAACAAAAGATAAAAACTGTCTAAAAATAAAGTGATTTGAAAAGATGAGATCTGTGATATTCTATATTCTACTATTTTTGTTATTGTCTTTAAATTCAAAGCCTTAAAAAAAAGGTTAAATTGTTGTATTGTAGTGAGTGTAAATACTGTAAACAGTTGTAAATAGTGCTTTTGTTAGGAAATATTGTCAGCTACAGATTAATACAGATTTGGTGTAAATTACAGTTATTCATTATGAAGAAACAATAGTGTGGCTCACTGATTTTTTTATATATTACCCGATATTATAATTTATCCCAAACATATTTTAATGGAAAACAAGGTAAGCGTTTTTGAGAGTGAACTTTAAATTAAGCGGCTGCTACTACTGGGTGTCATTACAGACGAATCACACCAGTCTCCAGCCAGGCCAGAGGTTTGTAAACATCAGACAAGTCCAGCAAATTAATCTAGACTAGGATTAAAACCAACTGAAAACTTTGACCACAGTGATTGGTTGATGACTATTACCCTGCACTGTAGCAGTTAAGCCCATAATCAAGGCGAACACAATCAGATCTCAATATGTCTTTGCAGACCCCTACTCACTCATCTAATCCCCAGATTTAGAATCTCAGATTAGGAATCCCAGATGATTAAACCCATATTGTGTGTGCATGTTCTCTGCAGGGAACCCTTCGCCGAGTGACCTTCTCAGTAGTCAGTCAGCCACAGGATGGCGGTTGCTACGACAGTGGCCTGGAGGACTCGGAGACACCAAGCAGCAAGAGTTCATCGGGGCCACGACTGGGATCCCTGCCGCTGCCTGAGGAAGGCTATGAGCGAACCACACCAGAGGGCAGTGTGGGGGAGGAAGAGCATGTGGAGAATGGTCAGAGCAGTCACACACACACACACACAAACCGTACAGTAAACAGCCAATAAAATCCACTGAATTAAATCACAATTGCGGTCAAGAGGCTTCCAGATACATTTACTTGTATATATTGTTTTTCAGGATGTTTTGATTATACACCTACTCTCAATCCCACACACACACTCAATAACTCACTAACTCACAGACAAATCATCCAGTAAATAGTCAATAAAATGAACTGAACATGTTCAGAATTGCAGTTAAGAGTCTTACAGATACATTTACTTACATACTAAGACAACTTAAAGGAAAAGCTAACATAAAGTGAACAACATAGACTTTTTTAAGTAACATGTCTCCAGTACAGCTTCAGTGCTCCTCTCCTGGATTAAGGAAACATCATTCTTCCAAAACAAACTCCCTCATTGTGTTTGACTCAGGATTCAAAAATTTTGACATTCTCTGAATAAAGAAATTTTTCAAATAATAACGAAAATATTCAGCAGACATATCAGTGACATCTGCATTTTATATTTCTAATGATTTATTCCGAATTTTTCCTCACCATTCAAGGCCATACTGTATGTGCAGCATTTTGTGAAAGGCTTAGACATGCTTTGATTACACACACACATGCATATTCACTGATGCCTTGACTTGCTGTCTTCATGTGATGAGAAGGTTGAATAAAGCAATTGTCCTGTGTGTGTTTGCATGTGCTGCACATATGGTTATGTGAAGCCTTGTGTGTGTTACATGAAAAGCTTCTGACAAACGTTAATGTGTGGCAGTATGTTGTGCCAGATGCTTGTCCGTGGTCTTGCTGTCAGTCAACAGCCCAAATGTTCCTTTTCATCAATGAAATTGTGTTTTTACCTTTTTAAATTCAGTCGTTGTCAAGGATGGAGAAGGCCAAACAGGGGTTTTATTTTATATGCTTTATCCTCTTTCCACTGTGAATGAACATGTCAGAGCTGGAACAACACTGGCAAAACAGCAAGGTCACTGTCACCTTGGAGACTGGGTGTACAGACTGTAGCTGTACTTCTAGTTGAATTCAGTGTTCTCATCAACGTGAAATCTTGAGGATTTTGTGGAGTTGAATGTTTTCATCACGATCAGGTGGAGAGTGGAATTGTACTGAAGCACATTGCATTCACCAAAGGAAAAAAGATTGGTGGATCTTATTTCCTAATTATGACTTACTACATCACAATTGTGGGATCTTTTCTCGTAATTATGAGATAATGCAGGGGTTTCAGGCAGGACCTGCCTGCAATCACCAGGTTTTAACAAATTCTTTAGTGTCAAAGTAATTCAGTGATAATTCAGCATACTTTCTGTCCCAAAACGTAAACAAATATAGTCTCCAAATGGGCCTCGAAGTTCGATATAGTACATGTACTGAGCAAGAGTTGGAAAGCTTCAGAACCTGCTTGAGAAACATTTGGTTCTAAACATTTTGAGCTAGTAAGTCATAATTATGAGATAAGATTCTCCGGTTTTTGTTTGTTTGTTTGTTTTCCTTTGGTGGATGTAATGCACTTCTATAGAGTTAGTTATAATTATACTATACCTGTATGTGCTCCTTTGATTTCACATGAATTTACCACTGCTGTCTCTGTATGTAGACAACAATACTGGAATTAGGTTCAGAATACAAAAGAAAAATGTAATTAATTGTGTTAATTAAAACTCAAGCAGAATTTAGAAAATCAAAATGTAAACAAATGTATTGTTTTCATTTGCTCTGTAGATGTGTATGAACAAACATTGCTTTACTTTTAAGTTTTAAGAGCTTCCTGCTGTGATTAGCAGAAAGTCACATTTACCTCATCTGTCATCGTTAGAATTCCTCTCTCTACCTAACACAGTGTCAGTATTGATTCATAAATGACAGGATTACATAGACGATCCTGTCGCATTCGATCTCTGGAGGCCTCACTAACCTTTTGAAATCGCACTCATGGGATGTAATTAGATTTATACAGTATGTAACTTAATCTTTACATGTGGGAAGGTTTATATTTGTCAAATAACTGATAATTACCTTGTCTTTGGCCTGAATTGTTGCTTAGTTTGACTTCACCTTTCACCCTACATGTAATGCTGAGCACAGCTGGGATATTTTTTAAAACATTCTTTTGCAGTCAGCAGTTTTCATTTTGCGCTTACAGCATTTTTCTTGCTTTACTTGCTTCCTTCAAATGGTATCCCCTCCGTTCTAACATGTTTTTCTTCCTTCCTGTCTTCTTCACCCAGCATTAAACTGATCTTTTTTGTTGAACTTTATCCATCTGCTCTCGCTTTTTATTTAATAGTTCCTTCCTGGGGCATCCTGGTGGCCCAGTGCATATCCTATACTGTAACTGCACCATCCCCAGTTTGACTGTGTGTAATAACCCCCCATACTGTATTATCCCATCTGGGCCTCTACTTAAAATGATTAAATGAAGGCTTTAATATTTTGTATCTTTTTCCTGTGTCCAGATGCCAGACAGCTGCCAGATGTAGCTTTGACAGGAAAGTGTACCAGGGAATGTGATGAGTTTGGCCACTCTGACACTTGTTGGATGCCTGTCCGCTCTTCGCCTCGTCAACGTCAGCGCCACGGCAGCGACCCCCCACGGCTCTCCACCTTCGCCCCAGGAGACGATAACAACAATCTCCGTGGCAACAACCATGAGAGTGATAGTGAGAGTGCTGGCAGCGCAGGGAGCTCAGAACCTGGGGTGGTCGTCAGTGGAGAAGGTCAGAGATTACCCTTAGTCAACGGGGATCCACTCGGCACCCTTGGTAGAGGAGATCGCAACAGAAACATGGGTGATCACAATCGTAACCTTCTGAATCGCAAGATGACATCAGCATCCTATGACACATTTAGCAGTGCAGGCTTTGGGAGGCGCCAGCAAGAGGAGGAAGGAAGAGAAGGCCAGAACCCACCTGAGGTCATACCACTGACGCGGACAGGAGGGGACTACAAGACCACATCCTGCCTCACATTGTCACGCCGTGAGGTCTACCTGTGACAACCTTGCAATGGAGCAATCATCACCACACCATTCCCTTTCCTAATAAAAGAGGGAGGGTTAAAACTTTACTGGCAAATCATCAGCTTGGAGGGCCTTTTAAACTTGCGAAGATGTGAAAATGTCAAGAAATATGTTTCCCAAAAGCCGAATTTCCCAAATTTAAATGTTTGGAATCTGATTAATATTTATAGGCTCTTAAACTTAAGAAAGTGATGGATCAACTCTTGGAAAGCTCTGACCACATGTACTTTCCTAAAAATGTTTTTTAACAACTAGTGAAATTGCCTACAGGCAAAGATCTTATTATGTCCATGTGGAGGAGGACAACTTCATTTCCTCTTCTTTTTACCTGAATTCAATGCATGCCTGACTCTCTGCTACAGAGGGATGCGTGTGAGGAAGAGAAAGACTGAGACTGAGCAAATCCTGATGCCGTAAAGGCTTCAGTGCATAAAAACTTTCACTGAGGCTACAGCAGGTCAGATTTGGACTCAACTGGTGAGCCAGAGGTCTTAACCAGTAACGGGTGTTGGAGTTTGGATATAATTCAAACCAATCAAATTTTTTAATGCCTAATCAACTCTATCATAACATAATATGGGAATATTAATATTCCAACTGCTAATCCAGTGAGAATCTCAAGTCATAAACTGTGTACAGTTACATGATAGAAAAAAATGTGATCTAAAAAAAATCAGGTAATGTTCTTTAAAAACTTAAATGATTAAGAGCAAACTGCAACAAGAGAAAAGAGTCATTTTTTTAGGGTAATCAAATGTAACCATTCAGAATACAAGGTTCTCATAGTGTCAGTAGTGCCCCATTATTGCGGTGTGTATGAAAATGTGTTTATTATTTTGCTTTCACACCTGTATGTATATATTGTATGTGTGTATTTGATAAAACAGCAGTGTTACCTCTCTGCTGCTGTTCACCATTTCAGAGTAGAGTGAGGTGCTGCTACACACCTACTGTATCCTAACAGTGTTCATGTACCACAAAATTGTCACACACACACACACACACACACACACACACACATTCTGTATACACATGCACGCTTGTAAGCACTCGCACACATAGACCTTGGCATGTAAACACAAACTCATACAGTGCATTTACCGAATGTGAACATGCTTAGAGCCACAGTTTATGACATGATTCAGTGGCCGTGTAACATGAAGTATATAATAACTTGCATTAACTTTCATACAGAAAACATTAAGAACACACACAAAAATACATGCTGTAGAGCATACTAACACGTTAGTAGAAACTCACATCCATATTAAGAGGTGCGCAATGCGCAATTCATATGCACTGTGTGTATGTGCTCTGAGTCATAATTTTTCAACATACTGCCTTTCATTAAACTACCTGTAACATTTTGCCTGCTCCCCTGCAGCCAGTATTTAAACATGACGCATATTTAAATAATTACTCATCTCTCTGACTGATGTGTGGGGCTACATTAAAGGGAGTTCAATGACATCTACTGTATGTAATGTTAGGCAATGTGGGAATATCAGATATTCTGCATACTGTAAGTAGGACTCATAGAAAAACCAAATTTCTGTAATTGCTGTAAGAAAAAAGGAAAAGAAAAAAGACTGCATGAAAGAAAGCTAATGCTAACTTTTTTTCTCTCTTTCTTAAATGACACGCCTTTTTGGACACCACGCCTACTTGGACACATCTAAATGCGTGCACTTATGGGGAAATGGAGATAATGATGGCAGCAAGGGAGTTAGCATCAGTGATTTAAACTGTTCCTTCTTTATTGTGGGATGAGTTCGGGCTAACCTTGGCCTTTTCTGTCAGTTTCAATAGCCCGGAGTTGGCACAAAGCTTGCCACAGGCTGTAACAACAAAGAACACAATGTCTTGAGAGCGCAGAGTTCCGCTGTAACCCTTTTGCACCACACAGTGCTGACCTTAACACACCCATATCGCTGTGCTGAACTGCTCAGATAACCGATTCCTTCACATTTGTCCTTCCCAGCAGCTACTGCACGACTCCAGACACACACTGCCTCATTGGGCTGAAGAGTGGGTGTGGATCGAGGCCAGCACATCTTAATTCCCATCATCAGTGTGTGGTTCAGTGGTGTGATAAGGATAATAGGGTTAGGTCGTCCCTGTGGTCTTAATGAGTTTCCTTTCTCCTCTCTTCTCCTTCCTTGATCTGCACTGATCTCATTAATGTCTGGATAGGCAAATGTAACTCTGCTGGAAATTGCTGGTAAGTGTGTCTCTTCATTTTTACTGGTTGTTTTGGAGCAGATGAGGCTAAAGAGACATGCTTGTTAAGGATGTACTGCATTTAGTCAGGAAATAGATCCTTGGAGTTGGAAACCCAAGCAACTCTCAGGTAAGATGTGTGACCATGTTTATCCTGTTAACAAACTACTTATGGTTTTGGCCACAAACCCCCACACTGTTGTTGCTTGACTGTCCCCTCACTGAAAAGAAAACTTGTGTGGAAGCAGTACAGTAAGTACCACGGTTCCTCCTTAGATTTTTCAGTAGTTATCTGGCTGAGAAAGCGTGTGCTTTATGTGTGTGATTGCAGCTTATATACCTTCAACTTTGCAACCCTTTATCATGTTCTAGGCCACTGATGTACTTCTTCCCTAAGCCTTCATTACCCCCATATCCCCAGCATGGCTGTTTACTGAGCTCTGTCATTGATGGACTGTGCTGAGGATGTAACAAAACTCAAGGCCTGACATGAAATGACTGTTCATGGAGAGTTCACGATGAAAGAGGATTGATTAAAACAATCAAAAACATCCTGCAGGGTACATACACTGAGACAGATTGACGTATGCTCATTCTCTGGGATAAATGTGTCCCAATCCCTTGGATGACAGAAAGGTGTTGAAGAATTAACGTCTAACTCGTTGCGAGTTTTGGAAAGAGACTCTTGACACAGCCCTGCCTCATCAAAGTGGCAGATATTTATACAAACTGCAGTTTTATGGCAGTTCCATTATGGCACCTTTCAAACCCACTGATCCAGATTTAATCGAACTTGCTGTACATGAATCTGTGTGGATGTGTAACTTTTTTTATACTGCACGTTTAAACATGAATATGTCGACAGCAAAACAGAGAGGGGAGACAGACAAACAAGAGCGTAACATCTGAGACCTATCACCCACTAATCAAGACATTTTGTAAAACAGACACTTCAACGGACATCATGTACCTGTCATCCCCCTCGTGCTGTATTCCTTATAGCCATGTACAAATAAAACTACACTGTAGAACAGACAACTGGAATTCATAGCAGACAATGGCATGCTTAAGGTCTTCAAATCTGCACTTGAGAAAAAATGAGAAAAAAAAAACTTTTTATTTTTCTCATCTTTGTTTTTTCTTACGGGGCTGATTGTGTTTTTTTGCTGCTCCCTTCCTGTAATTACATAATAAACTAATTGCATTTGCTATGATGAGGAAGAAGCGGACCTGTCGACAAATGGTTTGGTATGAAAATGAATCATGTAAAAGTTTGTCATTAAAAACTTCACACTCTTGTTTGTCTGTTAAGTTTCTGAAGACAGTATATTTCACACAGCAACTGTGAGATAAACAATAGTTTGGGAACAAAGAAAATAAATGCATAATTTTCTTAGGGACTATCAGTTTGAAATGACCAGTTAGTGGTAAGGAGTTCACACACAGAAATACTTACAATATAACTAGACAACAAAGGATTAAAAAATGCTAAAGTAAGAGGAGAGAAGTTTACTAAAACTGTTAATAATGTCAGGACAGGTGAAATGTTAAGAACAGCAACAAATAGAAAAACAATCACCGCAGAGTAGTTGAACTTACAATAGCCTTGAATTCAATACCAAGCTCTTCAGTCTAATTTCCATTTGTAAACTATTCTAAGCCACTGGAGCACAAAATGTGAAGCTTTCTTTCTGATCTCTGTCCAAAGCTAGGGACAGACAGCAGAATATGTGCTTTGCATGATTTAAGATGTGAAGCAGAGTGCCATAAAATAAGTTAGCAAAGATATGAAGGGGTTTTTCTAAAATATTTTTAAAAAATATACAAATGACTCAATCAGGACATAGAGAGAGAAGGGCAACCAACTCCAGCACAATGATGGGTTAATAGTTTTAATTTGATACTGTGATATGTTCATGCACTGGGAGAAGATGATGAAAATGATGTACTGGTGCATTCATGTAAAACAAGTCATCATAATCAAGAGCTGGCAAGAAAGTGGCAGCAGCCAGCCTGAAAAAAACAAAACAACTGTTGAGTTTAAACTAAAACCCTAACTTCAGTCTTAGTTTTTTCCAATATTCATTCATTCATTTTCTACCGCTTAGTCCCTGAACGGGGTCACGGAGGGGGCCGGAGCCAATCCCGGCCAGCAATCCGGCCTACACCCTGGACAGGTCGCCAATCCATCGCAGGGCTAACACATAGACAAACAACCACGCACACGCACTCCTATGGGCAATATTAGAGACACCAATCAACCTAAGCTGCATGTCTTTGGACTGTGGGAGGAAGCCGGAATACCCGGAGAGAACCCACACAAGCACGGGGAGAACATGCAAACTCCACACAGAAAGGTCCCAGGTGGGGCCCGAACCCGGAACCTTCGCGCTGTGAGGCAACGGCACTAACCACTGTGCCACCGTGCTGCCTATTTCCAATATGTTCAGCATTTTTGCTTAAAAGAAAGATATTTATCGAGCCACACACTAAAATATTTGTAAGGTATTTCTTCACTTAAGTTATCACAAAACTGAAAAGTTTGTAAGATGCCTCTGTGAGCAAGTGTGGCCGGCTATATAAAAACATAACAATAAGCAAAAGTTCCATCTATATCTACAACTATGTTATTTATATGAAGAGAGAATGAAAGTGGGTCTAGCTCATAACCTTGGGGTACTCCATTAATTGCATTAAGCCAATTTTATCTGAGCAGGTTTTACACAATGAGTCCTACCTGACAAATAATTAAAAAACCAGCCTACTGCTTGGTCAGACAAACCGATACTAAGCAACTGTTGCTTTAGCAGGGCATGATCAACAGTAAAAAAGTGTAAAGTGTCTATAAACAACAATAAGTTTATGAATAATTAATAAATCTTTTACTTGTTCCTAATAGATAACTGGTTGATAATAGCCTGAAACATGCTTTGTCTTTCAGGTTAATCCTTTAACCCACTTTGGTACCATGTGAATAAGGCACTCATTTTGACAGATTCATGCCCTGTAATTAATAAATTTATTGAAGGTTAATACAGCATTACTAATGTAATGGTCCATGTATTCAGTGGTTCAGGAGCTTTTGACTATAGAAATTTAAATTCAGTTTCATGAGAGCTAAACTAACTTTATCTGCTGATAAAGACAATGTAGGAAAGTTCAAAGTCAGTTAAAGTTACCTGTTGTTTCCAAGGTCAAGGGCTAACTGTCAAGCTTAATTTTTAAGCTATGTTTATTCCCAAAAAACAGAACCAAAATACTTTCATTTAGCAGAACAACACACTGATACTTTTATTTTAATGTGCAATGTCAAAAACAACAATATATATATCTATATATATAGATATATATATTTTTGTTTTTAAGGTGACAAGTGACTCCGGGTCCCACAGACCCGAACAGAGCACAAGGGTTAAATGTGAAAGTTTACTCTACAGTAGGTCAACCTCATCATCAGTGAGCCCTGGGCGTCCATGACCCTGTTGCCAGTTCACTGTTTGTCCTTCCTTAGACATTGTTGGTAGGTACTGACCACCGCAGTCCAGGAACACCCACCAAGACCTGCAGTCTGGGAGATTCTCTGACCCAGTCGTTAGCCATCACAGTCTGACCCTTGTCAGTGTCACCCAAATCCATATGCTTACCCATTTTTCCTGCTTTCAGCACATCAACTTCAAGGACTGAATGTTCACCTGCGGCCTAATATACCCCACACACTGACAGGTACCATTATAATGAGATCCAGCCATCCACTTTCTAAACCGCTTAGTCCCAAACGGGGCCACGAGATTATAATGAGATAATCAGTGTTATTCACTTCACCTGTCAGTGGTCATAATGTTATGGCTGATTGTGTGTATACATACACATGTAAAAAGGTACATATACAGGATTTCCACACAGTTTTTATTTGAATATATGTCAATCATTCATTTAATTTGCAGCAAAACCACAAGTACATACAATACCAGTAGTAAACACACTTAATATGTGATTACTTAAATAAAAAATCAAATTCTGCTCTAGTTTTCAGTCTGTACTGCTCTCTTTACTAGTCACATGCCTATAATGCAGATCCAGCCAACTAATTTGATTTTTCAGACAATTTCAGCTTAATATTCACATCACATGCTGGATGAATTATGCTGTTTGAGGAAAGGATTGAAACTGTTTTTCAGTTAATTGTGTTTTTCTAGGCTTATAACAATCTTACATTTGATTTAGGGTTTAGTAAAAATGTCAATTCATGGATTCTCAGGCCATAAAACTTTGTGTCCTCATCATCTGCAATTAGTATAATCACTTGCATTAAACTTCCAGCATGTTTCACACCCAATAAAAAGTCTGTTTTCAAAAAAGTCTGTATTACTGACCACAGTTTTAGGTATTCTGGACAGAGCAGTCCAGACATTACCATCCCCGAAGGACCAATTGTTCTGCAGCCTACAATAAAGTAATAAAAACGTACATAAAAGAGAAACCATTAAGCCACACGATAAAAGGTATTTGCAGCCTTTTATGAAATATCAAAAGCATCATCATATCAGTCAAGTTGTACTTTAAGTCAACTCATAAGTGGTGGCCATAAAAGGCTTTGTAAATCCACTGGTCTACACTACAACAAAATGTGTTGGGCTCTCTGAACTCTTAAACTCCTGAATTAAAGGTAGGGTTGGTGATCCTGGAAAAACCAGTGAGAGGAAGCTCAATTTTGAAAGTAGACAACCAAAGAAATCCCATCTTTTTGTTTTGACAAAGCCTCTCCTCCAAAACACGCACACTACAATGCACACTGCCTGACTACTACTTAGAAATTTCAGGAAAATAACAAATTCCCCCCAAACAAAACAAAACCGATGTATACCGCCGCCATGGTGTCACTTTTCAGCCCCTTTTGTTCTCTCAGTTGTTACCATTGTTCAATAGCCACACCAGTGTTAGTTCTAGTTTTACATCTTGAAGCATCCAACTTCTTGTTAGTTGTAACTTTCTTCTTGCTCTCATACTGCTCACACAGGTTGCAACTTCTGGCACCAAAGACATCATTACCTAAGGCTATATGTCTTAAAGGAGAAACCCTGGCCTGTAATAGTGGTTTCCATTTGCAAACGAAAGCTGCTGTGGGTACCTTCTCTGCCATAGCTCTCTAGCTTTAGCTATCAAAACTGAGCAGTAACACATCTGCCTGCAACTTCAATGCCTTGTGGGAGACTATTGACTCGTGCATTGAGTGCAAGAGCAGGATGCACGCAAGAAGGGACATCATTCAATGGTTTTGCTTGGGACCAGTAGAATTATTTGTCAGGCTTTTTCAGGCCTGCTGTTGCCATAGGTGATGGATTTTTTTCTTTATGTTGTCAGTGGATTTAATGTATTATTTGGCATCAGGAAAAGTGAAAAGTGAAAGTCAAGAAATGTAGCAAAAAATGGTTTGGAAGGAATTGTCAACCTTACCTTTAAATTCAAGGAATTTCCAGATCTTCTCAGGAGTTGTCAATTACTCTCAGGGCTTAAGGAGATTCTCCTCCTCTCAGTGAAAGAAAGCTGAGATGAATTACCTTTGAATTGCCTTTATATGCACAGAGCTCATGGCTTCAAAGTGAAAAACATAATTGTGCAATATGTTGAAATTTCCTTGTCTTACTCATTTGTGCTTATCGTGTCAGGATGAAATGTTTTTTGGTGTCCAACTCATTAACATCTGGGGGCTTCAACTCTCCAACATCAAAGAAACATTCAGCTTCAGTACAGCTTGTACACACTTAAATGGTTAATCCTTAAGAATACATAATGGGAGTCTCTCAATCATATGTGTTCACCTTAGACTGGGGTAAAAGTGCCAATAGATTTTGTCAACTTCAAATGAATCTACATTTGTCTTAGCCTGTTTCAGGAACAGGTTGGACCTTATAACAAAGCTCAACATGGACACCAGCTGGACAAAAGGGGCCGCTGCAATCTGACCATCACAAATCATCTGACTAATATGTGTTACAAGTTTCCTGGCTGATATAATTTCCCTGCTTCATGCCAATAGTAATTTTGCTCATGGCTTGTGCTGCATAAATTTGTTAGCTACAGTAAAAAGGTGTGTGATGTGTAATTATGTAGGAAAATTTAGCTAAACAGCAAATCTTAATACTGAATGATATAGGAAACATAAACAACTACAGTGTAGGAAACAGTGTCACATTTAGAAGATAACATTATGGTATTGGTAGGCACTTTCAGTTTTATCTGTAGGATAACTGTAACCTATGTCAAATTAGCATGTGTTACATAGTTTATTTCCTAAAATAAATCAGATATGTACAGTACCGATGACAGTGATGGATAATGTCCCACATTTAAATGCCTTTAGAATAGCCATCAAATGCACTGACTATGTACTGTGACATTAGGAAATATTAATAAATATTACCTTAATGTTGGGTTTTGATTGGATCTCACATACAAGGTGTCTGCATACAGAAGAGAACTATGGCATATTTTAGTTTGCAACACAATAAATATATGCAGCTCAGATGTGTACAGCAGGGACCTGAGGGACAATCACTGGTAGAAGAACAGCACAACTGGCTCAGTATTTTGCCTGGATGCACTCGATCCTGTTATTCCCAAACAGTGGCACGTACCCTGTCAGGGGAGGGGAAGTGTCCATGTTGTTAAGACCCCTGGTGAGACTGCAGCACCATACAAACACACACACACATAGCCACTGTTTTCCATTTTTTGTGATTTTATATCTTACTGCAGGAAATGGAAAACTTGGATAGTTTCAGTCTCACAAGCTCAGTATTGCATCTCCTTGGTTTGCTCCCAGAGCAGATGGCAGCGGCAGCATGCAGGTCTCTGTTGGTCTCTGAGAAGGTGATGTTGTCTGGAATCAGTTCAGCTCCAGTAAAAACCAGAAAGTGTTCTTTTCATATATACAGTCTGTATATTCTAAATAATAACTATTTGAAACTTAACTGCATTACTTTGTGATCTATATTTTTGTGATTGTATAAACTGACAAACTGTTCCAGGCATGACAAAAATAAATTTTCCTACATCAAACCATCAGGAGGTCAAATTATTGATTATACTCCCTGGAGCAGAAACATACCTGCCAATTCCTGAAGGTTTCTGGGCTGTTTCACCTCTGACCACAACCAGCATCAGTGACAGGAGTGGTCATAAGTGTGATTTGTTGCATCTGTAACCACACACACACAAAGTGATGAGATGGGCACATAAGGTACACTTCAGTTAGACTACAGGAGGTCAGTAAAACAAATTTTCAAGGCTTACTCTTTTGTGTCCTGGATATCATTCCCTCTTGAGCTATAAGTATTCATATCAACCCATTTCTCCTCATACCCTACCAGAGTAAATGTGTTTTACCAGCTATAACGTTCTAGCCTTTTCCTCCTCTGCCTGCCAGTGTTTTTCCAGTTATGATCCCCCACCTCCTCTTCAGACTTCTGTCCATCTGCCTTTGCCCCTTTGCTGAACAGAAAGACTGACTGATGTTGCCATCCTCTGGCCACCACTTAATTCTGTTTGCATTGAGGCTCAGGCCAGAGAATCTGTTGTATCTTGGCCAATCACACTTATAAAGGAAGCAAGGAAAAAATTATATTTCATAATGTGTGGAAGCAAAAACTGACCTTTTACAAATGAAATATATTATTAATTTGTCAGCTGTTCAGTACTGTATTGCTGACCTGCTCATTACAGTGAACTGTATATTCAAATGTGAAATTTCACAATATACTGACAAACTGTCATCTTATTAATGATCTTGTTGCTTACACAGTTTAGTGTCCTACAGCTGAAAAGGAAGCACATATTAAAGGATATCACAGTAACATAACGCTAATATGATTTGTAATGACAGCACATTTCAACCTGGTTCCTCAGATGACTTTTGAGTCACAAATGATTAAATACACTGTATATCAATTTTAATATTTCAAATGGAGGAAGGAAGTGACAGTTAGTGCTTCTCCTGTCCTTGTTCCTTTCATTCATTTGCCCAACAACAAATACAAAAGAATTTAATAGATTTTTTTTTATTTCATTTTGTCAGAACAGCTTTTAATTGCTTTCAGAAACAAGGCTAAACAGACAAAGAAATAAATCCATTACCAAAAATGTTTCTAAAATGTCATTACAGCCTACATTCTTGATCTATTAAAGTTTTATTCACCGTAATATTTGGTTCTGAGGCAACATATTTCAATTTTTAGTAATTTATGTGTTCCTTCTGTTCAAAGTGAAGAATTTGCTTGTATTTATTTTGACTTTAGGCTTCTTTTTTTTGCTGCAGTGTAAATCAGCCCAGTCTGATGTAGAGACAGCACAGATTCCCTGTAGGTCTTTTATTCTCATTATCATCACAAAAGTTTGGCTGCTTTTAACCACCTTTTCTTTTGTTATTGATGCCTGGTGACTGATCAGGCATAAACCTTCATGCAATCATTGTCAATACCTGTGGACACAATGGCACTACAAGAAAACATGATACAAGAAAAGTAGCATATTGCTGTGAGATGACAGTCCTAACCGCTGCACCACCGTGCTGCTCAAGTGTTTAACAAACTTACTCTTGTTAATACTGTTTGGTACAATTCTTTTTCCTTTCTGTCTTTTCAATCATGATATGTGTGTGTCATGGGTCATGTATTGAACACATAGTGTCCGAACTGAAGCATCTGTAATTTCACCTGACATAACTGATTGTACCCAGAGAAAACTGGCACACAGACACAAAGATGTGACATGAGAAAGCACCTGAATTATTACAATACAGTTGGCTCCACACACAACAAGGAGTCATATAAAATTAGTATTAAATGTCTATTTGACCATCATTTTTGACAATCAGTCAACTCTTTATTGATCAGTTTATTGATTTTGAGTTCCATTGGAGATACCAGACAACAACGACAAAAGCAGAGCTGCATTGAAACACTAAAAATAAAATCTAAACAGTTTCAAAAGATCCTTGGGGAAGTTTGAAAGAGCGGCGGTGGGAGCTGAAGCCCTTCTGCAGCAGCGAGATCCATTTCTTGCAGAGCAATTGGCAGAAAACTAGCAAATATCACAATGCCTTTGCAGTAAAACTATTATGTTGGCACAACAATCTAAAAATTAATTTAGCAACAGACAACAGCTGTTTTTCTTTTTGTTTCAACTGCTCATCTACTTTCACATTTTACAGGAGAGTACTGACACATTTGCATATAGTATCTAATGGTGGAGTGGGAGTTGCATTGCTTTTATTGAATTTCACAGTAATGTTAAAAATGAATGAATGTGTTTTGAACTTGGAAACAGCTGGCTCTATCCACAGTGAGTGTCATTATGTGTTCAAAGCATACAATAATTTAATATGTTTGTGCTGTTGAATACAAATGTGCCTGGAGTACAGTTTTAAGTGTTCCTGCATTGTCATAATAAACCACAAGTAGTGCAACATCTAAAGATGTGTCCATGCAATATGTTTAATTGATCCACTTGAGCCACACTAAAGCTAATATTGCCAGTATGTTGAATACCAGATGTGGTAGAAATCTGTTATTTCTACAGATGTCCACCAGATGGGTGGAGAGGAGCACCATGTCTGAGCAGGCCCACACAGGATGATGTGGGACACAAAGAAGATTAAGGAAGAAGTCATGCTCACTGGAAAGGGGACAGCAACATTATGACATGGGGTCACATTAGGTCCTTAGAGGGGGACCAACTCACAAGTCTGAGTTTTGCACATTTTTGAATGACTTGATTGATTGTAAATCACACTTTTTTTTTATTGGAAGTATAAATGTGCTTCATCTTAGTGGCTAAGGCAAACTGATAAAATCATAATGGTCTAAAAAAAAAAAAAAAACATGTCACCATTTAACCAAAAAAATATAAAGGTATTCATTCATGCCTGTGTGCTCACACTCACACACACACACACACACACACACACACACACACACACACACACACACACACACACACACACACACACTTGAGAGGTGAAACTCCACAACAACCACACTTTGCACAGTCCAGTGTTCAACCAAGGCTGGTAATGTGGGTGCCACCACCAGGGGGTGCTACAATACGGTGGCCAGGCCGATATGGAACGTTGTCATCAGTCTGTGCCCCTGACAAATCAAGACATAAGACAAATATTACATTTATTTACTTCAAATCTGGATGTATATGTCCCATCTAACACATAAAAATCTTCACTGAATCACTGGATTTTAAAACTTATACAAATAAAAATAAATATATTGGTTCTGTTACCCGATAGGCTGAAGTTGGACAGGTGAAGATTGCGGATTGGTGGTGGTTGAAAGGTGGGTGAGGTTTTGGCTGACGGAGCAGGAGTAATATATTTGGGGGTAGGAGCAACATCGTAAACAGGGCCATCATACATCCCACGAGTAACACCCTGCTTACCTTTCACCTGGGCAGAAAGCACAAAGACAAAACACAAGGCAAACCAATTAGTCATTCTTCAGGAACAAGATGGCCTGTAACCCACCATAAATATCACTGTAAAATATATTTTCTAAAATCACCAGCATGGGTGGATACCACAATAAAACCAGCATATTTTACAGGTTAGAACTATAAATAGGGCTGAATTATAATTACAGTATCTTACAGGTTCTGAACAGATGTGAAGCTACAATCTTGCTTGCCTGCCATAACAAGGAACAATAAATAATTTAAACACTGACTGGCTTTTATGATGCAATTTTCTATTTATACATTTACTTCTGATACCCGTTACCTTGTCTGCTTCCTGAAAAAAATGCATCAGCTGTTCATATGATTCCGTTTTTATTTTTCGTTACACATTGAATTCTTGCCTCCACCTTAAAAGAGGTTAGTAGATTGCAAAATCACCAGGGACAACAACAGAAATAAATCCAGGATATTATAATTTAATCCCTAACATAGTTTAATATTGTGTATTTCATACTGTGAAAATATTCATCTGTTGTCGGTGTTAGATATTTTTAGTCAGATAGATATTGGATAGATATTTTATGTATTAGAAATGTTTAGTGGAGATAGGATGTCTAGTTAGACTGTTAAATGCTTAGTCATGCTTATGAGTTGCTGCAGGGTACATCTGGTCAAGGCCACCAGAAAGAAGAGATGATGACTGTCAGCAGACAGGGTGTTTAATATTATTATTATGACGTGTATAACTGTAGCCTTAGCCATAATATGTTCTTATGTTTAAGTCACGACATGTTACTAGAAGTCTGTGAGAATGTTTTTAGCTACACACCACTTAACCAACAGACACACACATTCACACGTTGATTTGCTTCATGTTTTGACTACTGCTATGACCAGCTGCAAAGCTGGTAACAGAGACGTCTCGGTTGACGTTTCTGTGTAGTATGGGGCTAGCCCAACCGAGGGGATATAATGTATAGGCCTGGTGGGTTCAGGGTCTTTCATCTTCCAGCTGCCTGCGAGCAGTTTGGAGGTGCAAGATACCTGAGCGTGTAATGTTAATTTTACCTGCGGTTAACCAAACCGAACTAATATTTCTAAAAAGTACATTTTTATCACTGCTTTGGAAATGTCTTTAAAATCATCCATGTTCTGCACCTGGTTTCTAAACTTAACACGCTGGAAAGCGTAGTCTGGGAAAGGCTTGCGAGGAATAAATCGACCAGTGCCCTGCTGAGCCTGCAGCTTGCCTTCCTCATAAACCACACGACCTTGACTCAACACCAGGACCGGACCGCCACGGCACTCCAGGCCCTCAAAGATGTTGTATTCTGAAGCCTGTGTAGAGATATATAAAATATTCAAGACATGAAAAGTCAGATAAAGTGAATTATAAATACAGATAAAAGTTGTTTTTTTTTTTTTTTAAATCTTCCCTACTACACTGCATTGGCTCAGTCAGAGGGTTTAATACATGTAGTAAAGTGCAGCAGTTGAGAAGATGGGGGATGAATATGTGAGAGGCTCAGGGCAAATGAGGGAGCGACAGTGTGAATACGGGGGGGTAGAGAGATGGTAGCACAGAAAGGGTGAGGGGTGAAAATGGATTATGACCTAAAGCATGCACCAGTCTAGACTAACAGACTGAAAACATTAACCACTGTCAAATATCTTCACTATGTTGTGTGGCATTGCTCAAGGCAACTTTTTCCCTCTGAGGTCAGTCTTCTGAGTTTACGTAAATATGTCATTTTGTCATCAAATGTAGTCAGTTTAGTCATTTTTAAAAAAAACAGATATATATTTCCTTAATTACGAGCAAGTATCTTACCATGCAGATAATTTTGGTTTCATTTGGCCGTTATTTTGACTTTGAGGTTTTGTCGGCCAGCTCAATACAAAGGAGGTGAATGGAGTGTCATTCATGGGGCTCAAAGGATTAAAAACAACAGTGTCCTGATAATCCACAGTCCTCAGAGTGTACACTTTTCACTGGTTCTAGTGTGTACTGAAGAAAGTCAATAGAAAGACCCCACTACCCCCCCTAATGTGTCTGCTTCCTTTTCCTTTCCTTTCCCCTCTGCCCTGTGTTATTTTGCTCTCACCGACTGCTGGAGTTTGGCAGTGATGGTTTTGACGCTGTCAGGGTCCCAGATGACGATGTCTGCATCAGAGCCTACCGCTATCCGGCCTTTACGTGGGTACAGATTGAAAATTTTAGCAGCATTGGTAGATGTGACTGCCACAAACTGGTTCTCATCCATCTTCCCCATGGCCTAAGAGACAAAAAAACACTCATGTGGTTAATTGTTATACAAAAGTCACACACAGCTACACAGACGCATCCCCACACATTCCCCATTGCTCACCACAGTCTTGTCCCAGACAAATCCCATTCTCTCCTCCACCCCATTGGTTCCCTCTGGGATAAGGGTGAAGTCATCTTTACCAATTGCCTTCTGGGAAGTGCTGTATGCACAGTGAGCGCTACCCACCACCTGGAGGTCCCCACTGTATCACACAACAAAATGAAACAAAAATATCAGCAAACCCTAGCACTGCAATGAAAAGCTGTCAAACGAAAAGTTTTGAAATGTCCTGAACGACTAAATACAGGCGACTTAGTCTTTCTGATCACAAGGTAAGTTAAAGGACATTTGGATGCTAAACGAAAGAGAGACAATTTTCACATTCAAGCAATCACATTAACTATATACAGTAGACAGACATTTCCACTATTATCCACAAGATGTCTGCACCGAGCATGTGTGTTAAAGTACAAATCTTGCAGCTTAGTGAACGAGTCAGAATGGTGCAGCAGCTGTAAGACCAATCCCTATAGCAGGTATGCTGAATTATCAAAAAGTCATCAACACATATACTTACACCACCTCCTAGTATACAAGAGGCTCAATTTGAGTGATGAAGAGCTATCGTTATCATAATTTCTTTTCTAGGGCCATTTATTCATTTGCTAATTACAATAATTACTTCATGATAGTGAGCTTTGAGATCATCGTCCCAATGACAAGAGAGTGCTTATTATGGAAATAACTGGCTGCACTGAAATGTGAAAAAAGTGTTGCTTTTTTGTTTGTGTCACTTACAAAGAACCTAAAATACACCCTGCCACTTCAGCAAAAGCTCAGCAATAGCAGTATGGCACCACTGGCGTGACAGCCCAGACCCGCCTTGAGAAGCTGGAGCTGCAGATGAAGGGTGGAGGAGCAGAGAGGAAGGGGAGGAGGAGGGAGGTGCTTGGTATCCAAGGCAACAGATGATGAAGGATTCTAGTTCCATTGCTATTTATGGAATCGGGGACAATCAAGAGTGTACAGCAAGATGTTCTGAGCATTGTGTGTGTGTCTGTGTGTGCATATGTCTGTAAGGTGAGAATTGAACTGGGTTTGGTTTAGGGCACTTTATCCCTCTCTGGGATACTCACTAATTCCAACTTAGCCTATTATTATCATATATTTTACTTCATATATAATAAAAGTTGGTTCAAAATTATTATATAGCCCATTATACATTAATAAGTCTCTTTCTTTCTACCCCTCCTCTCCTCATACCTTTTCACCTTCTCTCCATCTCTTTTTCTTTTTCTTTTTCCCTGAAGCTGGACTGACATTGTGTATTACCTTAAAACTTGTTTGTGACATGAATACCAAACTAACATCGAAGGGCCAACAGTGGGCATTAGATCCATGCAGTTATCTCCTTTGGTGTCATCCAGCTGATTTGCATTTCTCTTTGTGCAAAGGTTATAACTAAATTAAGCACTGTGTCCTCATCTGCATTAATTAGACATGATTTAACATGTCCTGGAATTTTTGAACTGCAGTATACTGTACATACAGTCTTTTGACAGGCTTCCCAGAATATCATTGCCCCTTTTTCTAAAACACTGGGGCATTGCACTAAAATGAGACGAGATGAACTGCTGAACATTTTGAAGCCATACCAGGCCAGCAGTGTGTGGAGGTGGTCAGGAGTTGTGGGATCAGTACTCAGAGGTGGAGAGGTCACGTAAGCAGCTGCTTTGGCCCAGTTTTTGCTCCAGTAGTGAGAACCGTCAGTGGCCAAACTAGCTGTAATTGGCTCCCCAAAAACGACAGAACCTGGACAGGAAGATAGGATAATAAAGTTTGCAATTTGAATAAAACATGTCAGTAAACACAAGAAAAGCCAGATGCATGAACTGATTAAAACCTGGTGTACAAAAGTAAGACAACAAAAGAGAGGCTGACCTTTCCTCCGGGCCTGGGTGATGGTGTCAGCTGCACTCTTGCTCATCACCTTGGTGATGTACACAGGACAGTTCACCTGGTTGCTAAGAGTGATGGCGCGAAACACAGCCTCAGCCTCCAGCTGCACGGAAAGGAAGTAAGGGGTGTTAAAGCCTATGTAATGATGGATGGATAGATGGACAAGGAGGATGAAACTCACCTCTTCAGGATGACTCAGAGGGTGGCCCTCAGGTCCAGTGATTCCCATTCTAAGGATTTTTCTCTGTTCCTAAAAATAAATGAAACAGTTTCCTAATTATCTTCAGATGTACTACAATAACTGTCAACATTACAAGCCATACCTTTAAAGTAATCGTTTACCCTCACGGCTGTAAAACAAAAATCTCATGGTTTGTCAAGGTATCAAAGAAAATAAAGTGTGCATTATAATCCTAAGATGAAAATGCATGGCGAGAGATCCTGCTGGCTCCCACCTCTTCCTTTTCTTGGTTTCATTATTTGTCCCCAAAGGCATTGGTATTTCTACTGATTTTTTTTATCACCCATCTCCCTGTTTTGATTACTGTTTGTCAGGGCACATGCAGATCTCTATCTCTTTCCATCTCTCTCTCTGGTTGTTTTTGGGCCTACTGGGTATGGCAAGCTTCATTGTCCTCAGCTGAGTGGTTGATTGGCACACTGACTGGCACTCTACAATCAAGCCTCACAGTATTTAGCCACAACACTACATCCTACCTGCTGTTCTTGTGGTTCATATGTTTGGCCAAACTTCTCCTGCTACATTTTAGCATTTGCCTTGCTCGACTTGATGTCTCATGCGTCCCAGATCTGCGTGTGTTACGTTGTTCTGCCTAGGCTTCCCTCTCTGCTTACCTGCTCTGCCTCCTCCAGCTCTCAGCTCACTCCAGCTGCCCGAGCCAGGCTACACCTCTCCAGTCTCAGTGATTTCACCTGCCTCCCGCTCTGATACCCTGCCTCGTGTCACGGTTCCAGCCTGACCTTTTGCCTGTGCCAAGAGCCTTTTGCTCCTGTTCCTCTTGCTGCTTTTCCTCTGCCCTAGGTGCTTGAGTGGTCAGCTGGTTATCCTTCTGACTTTTTGTCTACCTGTGGTCATTGGTCGGCCACCAACCTGCCAGACCAGAGCCCAGGAACCTATATCTGGAATGTTGCTATCTACTATTGTTTACCAGGTCTTCCCAGCTACCCCACTCCTCCAGCTGCTGTCTCCCCTACAGAAGGTCACCAGCTACATCTCTTCTCAGTACTCCTGTTTCTATCTTGTACAGTAAGAGACTTAAATCTACCTGGTGTCTGAGTCCAGTATCCCCTCTATTGAAAAGACTGACTGGTCTTAAGACTGTTAAGCTAACAACTATGTCATTCATCATCCTTTCTCTGAGAGCTGGGGAGTTGTATAACACAAATCTTTCAACTACAGTGGTGGCTGCAGAGGACTAGGTAAGGCAAAAGATGGTGTTAGCTATTTCACAAGTCAGCTGCTGTGTCTGGAGGCTGAGTAAACACACTTACTGGCTGTGGTGGAATGGGTCACTAGTTGCTACTTAAAGACAGACATATGCCCCTTTCAGACATGCACTGAAATTCTCTAGACATTACCTGACACCGCAAATGTTTGAGTTAGTCGACCTGGACCCAAAGCGGCCATTACCCTACCAGCTCTCTAGTACAAAGTCTGTGTTGATGACATTCTATCATGTACCTGCAAAACCAAAAGAATGCGAACATCCAACGGTGTAGAAAAATGGTTCACAATGAAGATGCCAACAAAAAGATTGAAGCACTTGTGTCAGACCTCTATGGCAAGGCAGGGCAATAGGCTATTTTTTTCCTGACCAAATTACAAACTGGCTATGTGACTGTGTCTTGTCCCACCTCCTGTGTGCTCTACCCAGGCACAGCCCCTTGCATAAACCCAATGGAATATTTCTAGCAGGTGAGAACATGTCTGACAGATCATCTCCTATTGCATCTGTGAAAGTGCAGCTCTGGACAAAGTGTATAGACTGTAGGACTTACCTGAGCAATCAAATCTCCATTTTCAGCATGAACTAACACCACAGCACCCAATTGCTTCAGGAAGGAGAAAGCCTCATACAGCTAACAGGGGAATGAGTCCAGACAAATAAAAAAAAAGTGAAAGGAAAGAACGGAAAGTCACAGATTTACATGAGGAATGTACTGCAATATTGGTAACTGTGCAATTAGATTGTGAAACAAACCTGAGAATCTGTCATCTGGTACACATCCTTATAAGCCATGTACACTTGGAAGGAGTTGATACCTGACAGTATTAGAAAAAAAGAATCAGTTTATGACAAAAAGGTAATAAAGGGAAACTCAGAATCGAGACAAATCATGTGTCTGTAGCTAAAAACAATTTATCATGAAATACAATTTTTTTTAAAAGATGAAATTAAGGCACAACTTCAAGCTGCAAAATATAAAAATTGATCTAAATCCATGCCTGGTGTGCAAAGCATGCAGAACGTGCTTATGTCTAGCATCTGAGCCAAAATTTGCAAATCTATTGTATTTCTAAGGTAAACTGGTCACACAAGCAGCTGCCTTGGTGCTGTTGCTGCATTCCCTAGCAACTGTCCCAAAAGAAAAGTGATTTTTTGTTTAACTTAAGACAGATTACAAGCAGAATTTATACACTGTCACCATGACACTGCTGTAATACAAGCAATGGCTTTCTGCTGCCTTGTCACTATAAGAGGATTCAGCACTGGGCCAAACTGTTTCTAAGTCTGTCCCTATTGTTCTTGTGATATTACGACAAAATGGGGATGAACATGGAGCTGATACAAGAATTACAGCAATGCTTACAGTGCTAAAATACAGAACTAAAACCCAATGTACCTTTCTCTTGCACCAGCAGCTCCAGCTCATCTTTAACAGTCTCATTCCACTGGGGGATGTCGACATGCAGGGAGTAGTCACAGCACGCCTTCTTATCTGCAGCCTCCTGCCAGTGCTCAAATGCCGCTAGCAGGCTGTGCCCAGGCTGGGGGATCACATGGTCAACTGAGAGATTACAGATAGAAAGAGTGCCCCCAACATTGTGTGGTAACAGAATGTACTGTAGACTGCATGCATATACTGTACTGTATAACCACACTCACTGATCATGGTAGTGCCACCAGCAAGGGCAGCCTTGGTGCCCTGGAGGAAATCATCAACGGGCTGTGTACCCAAGTAGGGCTTCATGAAGCAAGTGTTGACATCTATCCCTCCTGGTATCACCAGGCGGCCATTACTCTGGATCACCCTGACATCTCCGGGGACGACCAGATTCTCACCCACCTGCCTGCCAAGGGTCAAATACATGAACAAAATGTAGGAATGAGGAGATGAAGGTGAAAGGGAGGCAAGATGTAGGAATGAGGAGATGAAGGTGAAAGTTGTAGTGCAGGAAGATATAAAAAGGGTTGTGGAGGATAAGGCAGTGGAAAAGAACACAAAGGGAATAAGGTGGTGAAATTGTTATCAACTGAAAAACACTTGCAGTAGATTTTAATGCCTGTGCAGTTCTTTGTCATAATTAGCTCCATATATACGCACTTGATGAGCCCATCCTCAATGTAGACATCTGCATAGAAAGAGTGGTCATCATTGACCACTCGCCCTCCTTTGATCAACAGCTTCTCACTCTGCAGGAGAGAAGTAGGGAGGAGTACAGCGGTTGAAATGAGTCCTGACATTTTGATATACTGCACAATCAGTTACGTAATCCCTGACCCTATGGCCATATTATGACAGTGCACAATTACGGTGGAAACAAATGCATAGCCAGGCAATTTCTGTTCATGGGTGTGGTCTCATAACAGCCAATATTAATAACTGACTAATTAGCATTTATATTTAACAACAAAATGAAATGGTGAATATTTAGAATGCAGTGTTGAAACAAGGGTTTTTGTCAGACACCATGTGTCCACACCCTCCAGCAGGACGGAGGGCGCCTGGCAACAGCATTAGGAAGATGTTATGTCTCCATGGAAACTAGTGATCATCCCCTGATCATCGATGGTTCGAGATGACGGGAGGTGACCGACCTATAGCCAGTAAGGATGCTTACAAAAGAAGAGGCCTGAATACAGTATGGCTGTTGTTTTCTGTCTCCACCATGACACTGAATGCTTACAGTAGATACCATGTATGCTCATTTTACATCCAACAATACTCTGTAGCGAGGGAGAGGGTTTTCTGCAGACTGCAGGCTTAAAGGGCTAGTTGGGAAAAGCTATTTTCACAAATCACTGCGCAAGTCCAGTCTTACACCTATGCATTCTTTTATGAAAGCCATTGTTTCCTGTGCAATCCCTATTCAACTGTCACGTCTGCCAACTTAATCTCTTTGACAGACGGCATGATTCACCATTCAACGCCGAGCGAGAAAAGGCGCTCGATTTGATACACAGCCATAGAGCACTGACACCTCTCTTCAATATGTTGTGTCACACTGGAGAAAGACAGGGACCTCCTTATTTAGCCACCTCACTAAGAATTAAATCCCCTCACTGCTGGTATTGGCAGCAGGGATTCGCATACAAACGAACAGCTTCTCCGGCCAACGCCTCTGATCAGGTGGGGTCTCTTACCGTCTGATGGAGGATGCTGCTCTTCCCCTGGTAACTGGTCCCAGACATGCTCAGTCTGTCGCTCTGGCCCGGGCGGTCAACACAGCAGCGGGTTGCGGTGACTCCAGCACCCTGCTATCCGCTCTTGGCCCCCTTGTCTCCCCCGATGTGTGCTGAATAAATCCGCCCCAGTACGGCTGCGTCACAATGCGTAAAACGCGCACAGTGAAAGACGGGTAACGTTCGTGTTCGTGCGTGCGTGCGTGCGTGCGGAACGTCTGCCCGGCGGCGTTCACGGCACCGAGAAAGACAGACACGAGCGCCCTCACTGAGAACATAGAAGATAATCCAGCGAGAGGACGCTGTTCAGTTCAGCACCACAGGCCAGACGCTGCTCTTCCGTTGTGACGTGCCAGCATTTGCATATTTTTGGAAGATTTTATTTGGTCGACGTAGACATATATCAAACTACTGAAACATTTGTTTTAGTTGGTCTTCCAAAACGAGGCTTCCTTAAAATAAATCACACAAATATTTACAGGCTAGTCCTATACCTTCCGCCGATAATTCTTCCTAAGCGATTCAAAAGTTGTCCACCAGCTGGAACAGCCTACCACTTGCTGGGAAGCTGATCATAAACGACACAGCCATCAGACTTCCAACCAAAAAACCAAAACAAGTTAGCAAAAATCTGTCCTACCTTTTCATTCGGGATTTCGTTCCCCGATGAAAATCTGTCCTGGCCATCTGTGCGTGCGTCCTCTCTCTCCACGGGCGAGTGGGTCATTGAGCCTTCCTGGGTTTCCCTGGGTGTTTTGCCGATGGGATCACCAGGGTCCAAGAGCCTCTCTCGGCTCTCGCTTCTCGGTGTGCGGCTACCTTTCTTCCCCATCGCGTAATTATCTAAGTCAATGGTCTTGCTGCCAAACGCCCCCTCCACAGAGCTGAACATCCCGTAGGATTTCCTCTGGTTCGGACCGGTGGTGATCGGTCCCGCCAGGTAGACGGGTAGCTCATCCTCCCGATTCCACTGTCTTCTGCAGTCAGACATTGTAGCTACAACGAGAGATGAAGACTCCCCCGCGTCTGAAACGCTGGAGACAGCAGCCTCGCTTGTTCTACGTCCAGCCGGGTCACAGTCCCGCTTCTCAGGCAAGAGCTATGAAAAGCAGCTCTCTCCGGGCAAACCCGCCTCTTAACACACACGCACAAACTGAAATGATCCAGGGCTCTAGTTGTGTGATGTGCCAGTGTGAATTAGTCTTAGCTCTGCAGCAGTGTAGTTACTGACCACACATACACCCCCAAAATAAAACTAAAACGAGAGCAAGTCTGGGCTTTTGCCTCCCTCTTTGTCTTTTTCTCTTTAACACCCTCTCTTTCTTTTTGATGTGGGGGCTGTGTGTGAGCATGTCACACCATCAGCGGATTAGACCGCATATCATCTTTTAAACCACATCTTGAGGGACAGAATGGTAAAACGTCTACTGTAATGTCGTACAAGGGCCTGGTTTATAGCAAGACACTGGCCTTGAATGAATGCAACCTGAAGCTCGGATAAGACTGCAGACTGAAGCGGGTGATCTTATCAAACCAGTGACCTGTTTACTCATGAGATTTTTGCTGATCTGCAGCGACACTGGGAGTTGAAATCCTATTCTAAACAGCAACAGACTGTCCTTCTTTTGCCCATTGGAATGCTGGGAGAGGGCGAAAGACAGAGATAGAGAGAAGCTGGAGCTGTCTGTTCAGTGCTTGTGCAGGTGGACAGCTCCCAGACGAACAATGCACCAAGCACAAAAGACAGCGACACCAAAACGCACTCCTCCATTACCTTACAATGTACACGGGTCAGTAGCGCACGTGTAAATACAGTTTTGGCCCTATTTAGAATAGGCTAGGTGAACCAGTATATTGGCCCACTACACACTGGAATCAGACCTACTGCATGCCTATAGCACACTGTATGATATGATTATTATAAAACACCTTATAATAAGGGTAAAAATCATATGTAGTACATAACTATATGCCAGGACTCATGATGGTTCAGTGCCTGAATTGATGCATCATGTATCACGAACTCGTGTTGCTCGCCATTTAAAAATGATAGTCACCAACATTTTATATTGAATACTTAATTCTTAATGACTCGTCATTTTATCCCACAGTTAGTAATTTATATGCCATGAAGTTGCTGATAAAGGCTAGGCTATATCCGACCCATGCATGTGACCAGTTTCTCTGTTGGCCCTGTTCTCATAGAACTAGTATTCCTATGTTCCAAAAATCCTGGCTACATATACTGCTGCACGAATTACGCTTCATACTGGCATATGGATTCGTTGTAAGTGTGAGAAAACTGATAATCATTAGTCACATACTGGTAGTGACTCGATTTAGAGCAGCAGGCCTTCAGGAAATATCCTGTATTGAGTGGTGCAATATGTATGTGTATTAATTAAACATATGGTTTTTTACACCATTAGGCCATTTTACTTATCAGAAGGCTTTTCTCGGAGGTTTGTCTTGTTGCCGGCCGAGGCCATATGGGAGAGAGACAGGCGGCCTATCGACCTGGAACCCCATAATCTACTTAAATGGTGTGACCATTCGGTTAAAATCAGTGCACATGCAGCCTATCATTTACCAGATATTTCTTAGATTTTGTTTTTTACCTGAGGTGATATTCACATTAAGTTTGACTACAAAAAGAGGCACGAGGGACAGAACTGAGTAAACGTTTGAAGAGGCGAGAGAAATTATTGCAATCCTTTGGTCCTCAGGTTTAAGAAGCAAAAATAGCCACCTTTAATAACCAATCCGATCAGCATGGTCATTTGATGGACAATTATGACACTCTATTAGAGGGCAGTCTACTTTCGGGGGCGGGGCGTGCGAAGTTGTAATGTCATTTATAGACCACAGACATGAGTGTCCAGTAACCATTTACGTGACCAGTGTGCGTATCTGATTTTGCGGTGCCCTGTGGAGCGGAATGGACCCGGACTGCAGACACGCCGTTTAAAAAAAAGAGCAATTTACTTTATATCCCGAAAAAACCTGCTCGTATCGTTACCAAGTAAGATTTCTTACTTTATTTTACTGAATGATTTACTGTTAAGAATGTAGCCTATAGGGCAAGAAGTTCAGAGTTCCCCTAGACTCGTATCGTGTGCATGGCGCTAAATAATTACAGGATTCTCAAAACTTTTTTAAATTAAAAAACTGGTTTAAATTATGGGTTATCAGGACGTTCCTGCTTTCCTTTCACACTTTATTTAGTTTAACTGCATATGATTGCAAAGGATATCCAGTTACTTTTCCCGTGTCTTCTCTGGCAATGACTCACACTGAGTAGAACAGAGTTTTACTAAAGTTTGTTTCCCTGTCAAAACACAGTTTCCTCTGTATCAAAGGGTGGGTATTGCTTCACTTGTGGCTCATTATTTAAATTATTTTACTGCAGTATATAACTGTCATAATTATTTACTGTCACCTTTTCATCTCCCAGGAAAGATGGAGAAGGATTTCCCATCAACACCCACTGCTGTCAACATCCAGGGGTCATGGCCTGTCCAGGATGAGCCCTCTCTTCCCTCCTCCATACAGATTCCTCCCTCACCTGTCTCCAGTAACCCCTCTGCTGTGCCCTCTTCTCAGCCTGAACCTCCATTTTCTGCAGATTCCACTACACTGAAAACATTCTCAGATTCCTCCCCATCAACTCACACCATCTCTAAACCAGTAGACTCTCCCACTCCTCCTTCTGGGGTGTCTTCTAAACCTGTATCTAAAATGGTTTCCACTAGTCCCTCCTCTCCTTCTCCATGCAACACACCAGTTGCCACTTCTCCTAAGTGCTCTGCTCCTCCAATCTCCAAAACTTCATCCTTTTCCAAGCTCACACCTGCCTCCACTGCATCACCCAGCCTAGGCTTTCACACTCCAGTAGATTCCGCTTCAGCTTCATCCACTTCCACCTTGGCTCCTGGGACTTCTTCCACTGCCCCCTTGAAACGTACCTTTGCCTCCGTGGCCAAGCAGGTGATAATACAAGAGAGACTTAGGAAAGCGGAGCAAGAGGATGCCAGTGATGAAGAAGATGGTAAGAATGACACTGTTTTTAACTGTAATTTGCATTTAGTGGCACAGTAATTAACAAATGTGAGGAAATTAACAAGCTAAACTAAGGTGATGAACATTGTAAACATTATACAGTAAGCAGCTTGCTAGCATTGCTTTGTCAGCAAGTTAGAATGCTGAGTTAGCATTTAACATTAAAATAACACAAGTACAGCTAGCATGGCTGTAGTCTTTGATTATGAACATGGTAAAGCTTGGTTGCTACATAGAAAACTTCTGACACTGACACAGGCTGAATATTTAAATTTAAGAATAATACTCATCTGAATGTTTTCCACCACTTCTATAGAGAAGAGTGAGAGTACTGTGCAACCCACTGAGCCAGAGAGTAGTTTTTCATTGACTGAGACTAATATGGGTACAGTTAAGGCATCTCCTTTCTTCTCCTCCAGATGAAGAACCAGAGGAAGAGTTGTCTGTGGAGGAGATGGAGGAGAAGGCCAAAGCTGGTGATGCCAGAGCTCAAACCCGGGTAAATGAAAAGCACATAGAATAGAATATAGAACAGAATATATCTTTATCGTCGTTGTATCCAGTACAACTAAATTTAAAAAGCCATGTAGTCAATGTGGCAATCACACACTAATATACACAATAATAAGATAATAAAACAAATAATAATAAACACACCACCGTACCTTCTCACACTCATCTGTTGCACAAACATGCACACGGACTGGCACTTGGCTTTGTTTTCACTCCTGCTGGTTTACTCATTCTGAATGTGAGTATGTGTCTATTTTTGGTCACTTGGAAGCTGATACCTTTGAATTTGATACACGAGATACTGTCACATACAGCTAATTAAGAACACGATTACGGGGCATTGCAGCATGTACTAATTCTGTACAAACACAAGTGCAAAATGCCCATCAGCTATGAAAGAGTAAACTGGTTAGATATGTCTTTAACTTTCTCATGCTATCGGCCATGTATTTGGACATACCATACACCTACACTACCGTGTTTCGGTATGTATGTATGTATGGAGACATGAGTCACTAGTGTTTCAGTATGTATGTATGGAGACATGAGTCACTTTGTAGGGACTCAATATTCTTATGGGGACAAAAAACAAGTCACCAAAACGTAAATAATGATATTCACTTTTATTGGCTGACTATGTTACGCACACAAGGAATTTGTCACTGGTACAGAACCTATGTAGCTATCCGCAGCGCCAACTCACAAACATGAATCAGACAGAAATATCCTAATGCAGGGAGCCCTCAGATGAAGACATCTCATCTTCATATAAACAGATGCTTTTGATAATAACTGTGAGAAGGAAGTTATGAAATGACAGTTAGTGTAAGATTAGAAATTCGCCACTTGATATGTCACTGGGGTCTTTGCTACTCCTTGGAAACGACTGCAGTTAGCTATAACAGAGACACTGATAGCTCCAGGGAGTTAGTCATCTGTCGTCTGTGGGTTCCATGAATATCACCATGAACTGTTTTTACTGAAACTACTTCCTACCAAAGAAGTAGTAAGAAAACAAGTGCATTCTGCACATTGTCCAAAAAAAATCAGGCCATTGCTGCTGGAAATACGTTGCTGTTGATAGAATAATAACAATTTTAAAGTTTTTTAACACTTTCAGTTATCACAAGCAGTGTCTTATGCCTCATCATTGTCTTCTTAACCTACTAATCCGCCCTCTTAGTTTTTAAGCCAGTCACAGTCTTATGAAGCTGCTGTATAAACACTGTTTAACAATGCAGTATGTTCTTGATGATATACCATACCATGGCTAATAGTTTAGTATATTTGAACAATACATAGTAGTAATATGCAATAGGACTTACAGGAATTTACTATTTGCTGTTTAAAATGATCTCTTTTCTACTTTTCTCCTGTGTCTCAGTTGGGTCAGCACTACTTGATTCTTGCTGAAGAGAAGGACACCGAGATAAATAATCGCCTGGCTATTGATTGGCTGATTAAAGCAGCTAAACAGGGTAGAAAATGTGCAGCGAGATTACTGCAGCGCTGTTGGATCCAAAGAAAAGGTCAGCGCAATCAATTTCAATACATGCTTGTGCATGTTTGTATTATTTATATTGGTGTTTGTAGTTTCTTAACTGTCCTTCACCCTCCTTTAGGAATCACTCCAGAAAATGAGGTTGATGTACGCAAGTTGTCAACAGAGAGTAAGTTTGAGCTGGCAGTACGCAAGGCAGCCATGATGATGTACTGGAAGCTCAACCCAGAGAGGAAGAAGAAGGTGGCTGTGGCTGAGATGCTGGAAAATGTCAGCCAGGTTAATGCAGTGTCGGGTAGGATGCACAAACACATTCACAGAAATGTGGATAGAAACAAAGTATAATCTACACTCACTTTATTAGGTACACCTGTACGATTGTATGCAATTCAAAGCAACACTTCGACCTTAACATCTTTGTTTATGAAGCCCCAAATGTTTCATTTTTTGGCAAAATTGTCATAAATATATAAATTCAATCACATATTTATTATTGAGGCCATAGTTAAAGGTGTTAGTATCTCACTGGTGCCATGGTCATTCCTTACCAACAGGTGGCACTGCTGGCAGAATTCCTAGTTCAACCTCAGGCCAGACTCAGAAAGTATTGGAGAACATGGTCAGGAATGAGTGTAAGTACAAAGTGTAAGTACAGTAAGAAAGAGTGACAGAGAGAGAGAATGTAGTGTCCATGTGCAATCGTCTCTGTTGTGTCCTTTCAGGTAAACACTCAGTAGACCTGGATGACTTTGTCGAGATGATGAAAAAGTACGCACAGGGCATTGTCCCCTCTGCACCCCAAAATGGCAGCCAGCTCATAGCCAAGACTGAAAGCCTTACAACTCATGAGACTGAAGAGGTAAAAGACCAAATCAGCCTGTTGTCATGAGAAGCCATGTCATTTTATTTTTAATTACAGCTATTCAGACTAGTGTGTGTGTGTGTGTGTGTGTGTGTGTGTGATTGTGTTTTGAAGCACAAGACTGAGTTGGTCCCATCAGGATGCAAGAAGTCCCTCAAAACCTCCTGGGGTTTTGACACTAACCAGAGTGGGGCCATAAAAAAAGCCATGGACATGAAATCACGCCTAATGGTATATACTGTATATATATATATATATATATATGGATATTTTTACACTTGTTAAAGCACTGTGTTCTTAATTCGGTCATCCTGGTTTATACACATTAATTGTTCCAGTCTTTCCTTATACCTGTTTCTCTTCACTTCAGGTGCTGGAGTACCCACTGCATGCCATTGTAGAGATGAAGGAGCACCTGGTCGACTGGGCTTCACGGGCTGGTGTCCAGTGGCTGAGCACGATCATCCCCACACACCACGTCAATGCGCTCATTTTCTTCTTCATCATCAGCAACCTGACAGTTGACTTGTTTGCTTTTGTCATCCCTCTGCTTGTGTTCTACCTCTCCTTCATCTCAATGATCATTTGCACACTTCGTATTTTTCAGAGCGGTAAAGTGAGTGTTTCTCAAAGTTTAAAATCAAATTTATGTTGAGCTCCATTGGTTTTCAGTGCAAAAGCTATGTTGCTACATATTTCTCTGTCCTGTCAAGAGGTTAATGTGTATGCATTTGATTTAAAATGTTATTTTTCTTTTTACTAAAGAAAAGTTTTCTTTTTTCTTTCCCCCTTTTGTCCAGACGTGGGAGAACTTCAAAGCCCTGACATCTTTGCTGGCACGTTTTGAGCCAGGGCTGGACGTGGAGCAGGCAGAGACAAACTTTGGCTGGAACAACCTGGAGCCGTATCTTTATTTTATCCTCTCTGTTTTCTTCGTCATTTTCTCCTTCCCTGTAGCTAACAAGAGCTGGATCCCCTGTTCTGAACTCTCCACTGTGGCCATCTTCTTCACCGCTGTCAGCTACATGAGCCTCAGTCCCACAGCTGCAATGTATGCACGCCGAGCAATGGTCATAGAGGTCAGGGAACACACAACACTGGCATAGCATATGCGATTATTAACAAATCAGTGTATTTAACATTATTTCCACTATAACAAAAGTGATAAAATGGCATGAAGGAAGTTTGTTGATAGATTTTCTAACTTCCACAACTTATTTTCTATCCAGGTAGCGTCATCTTTGTGTTGCCTTACCCAGTTCCTACCAGAGAAAATGGCAGCACTTCGTTTCCTGGGCCACACCTTCACCACACTGCCGCTAGGGGAGTCAGTGGTGCTGAAGCTTAGCATCCCATGCCTGCTCTATGTTTATCTCTTCTACCTGTTTTTCAGGTGAGAATAAGCATTCAGACCTCATGGTGTGCTTAAAGAATGTCAGCTCATACAATGGATTGTGTCTACAGGCTTTAAAATTGACCTCAGCATATTTGTGAATTGGTCATTGCATGTATGTATCAGTTTGTCTTGTCACTTTAAATGTTTTTAAATCTTATTAAATTGTTGTTAATTGTTTTTTTCTTCTTTTTGTATATTTTCATGTTCAGCATGGCTAGGATGCGTGGTTTCCGGGGGACCTACTGCTTCCTGGTTCCATACCTGGTGTGTTTCATGTGGTGTGAGTTCTCTGTGGTGCTCCTAAAGAGTTCCTCCGTGGTGGGTCTAATCCGCACCTGTGTGGCCTACTTCCTCTTCCTGTTTGCGCTGCCTGTTCTGGCATTTGGCCTGGCTATCATGTTATTCATCCAGCTCTTCAAGTGGTTCCTTGAGCTGGAACTAACGAAGATGATCGTGACCCTGGTAGTGTG